ATTAAGCATGATTTGTATTTTTTTATAACTATCAGTAAAGTGAAAGAGACTATTCATATACCAGTTCACAGGGTAGTCATTATAGAACGGAAACTTCATAGGAATGACAATGAAAAAAAATGACATATATTGATCCCATGACATTGTACATTGATGGCGCGTGTCCTGCCCTAGTTAGAAAAACAAATCAAATTGAAAAATTTCCATCTGTGCCCCCTTCAGTACCCCCCTCAGTACCAGAAAAGTGTAAATTGGACCTGAATCAAGTCGGACTGAATCATGTAGGGAATCAACTTGTGGCATGACGAACTGAGGGCATGAATCAAGTCGGACTTGGACAGATGCAAACTGGAATATGGGTCTGATTCAAGTCGATTTTTTGACTTGATTTAGGCCGACTTGATTGAAGTCGATTTTTCGATTTGATTCAGGTCAATTTTTCGATTTGATTCAAGCCGATTTTTCGGTTTGATTCAAGTCTACGGTTTGGCTTGATTCAAGCCAATTTTTCTCTAAATTCTCGATGTATGCTGTCAAAAAGGTCCCTTTTGTGAGCCTCATATATAGGGAAAGGGAGAATTCTACATCGAGAATTCAGTACGCTCCATTTGTTCAATAGATATCGTTGGACAAAATTTTGACCACATTCACAGAATTTAGTGCAGAAGAAAGACGTAAGAGTCTCCAACGATGGCTGCTAGAGTGGGACACATCTGCTAAAGGGAGATGGACCTATCGACTCATCCCACAGGTAGGTGTTTGGTTGAATCGCACCCATGGTGAGTATCTGATGCAAATATTTTCGGGACTGCAATCGAAGTTGGATATTCTGGAGAAAAGCCAGATCGAGGACCAGCACGTGAGGCTGCTCACTGGGAAGGATAGCGCGGAGGTGCTCGAGCACGATTACGTGAAGCAAGGGGTATACGATATCTGTTTGCAGCGGTACTTCACGGCTCGTACGTCGTTCATTGGGCTAATCAAGGCCATTGATGAGACCGCGGAACTCTCGGAGTCGTTTCGTCGACCCGCTGCATCAGTTCCGTCTACTCAGGTGACTCAAAGGCAGTTACCGAAGATCTCGCTGCCTACCTTCTCAGGGGACGCCCTTCAAAGATCTTTTCCTCTCAATGGTGGTCGGCAACAATAACCTCTCTACGATCGAGAAATTCCATTATATCTTGAATTCTCTTGCTGGCGAGCCAAAGCAGTTGATCTCAACTCTGCCGGTAGCTCAAGACTCATTCATTCCAGCCTGGGATATGCTTATCGCGAGGTATGACAATGAACGTCTCATCTCTACCCAGCTGGAAAGGTTGTTCTCCACTCCGAGGATCGTCAACCGTACGACCAAGGAGTTTAATGTTCTCTTCAATTCCACCACCGAAGCTCTCAACGCCCTGAAGTCGTTGGGATGCCCTGTCGAGCACTGGGACGACGTCTTGGTGCATATCATCTCAAGCCGGTTGGATGTTAAGATGTCGGAGGCGTGGGAAGTTAAGATCGGATCCACCACCATCTTTCCGACGTACGCGAAACTCAGGGAGTTCATGTTGAGCAGAGCAAGAGCTAGGGAGAGAATTGAGCTGCATCCTCTTCACGCTCCCAAGACGTCAACTTCGAGTGTGTCCTCTCAACCACCCAGAGCAAAGCCAGCAAAGGTGCTGAATGTCCCAACTGGCAGTGCAGGTCCACAGGCTCGCGGGCCGAGTTCGCAGTCATGGGCAGACATGACCGCCAATGCCTGCTCCATGTGTNTCTTTCCGACGTACGCGAAACTCAGGGAGTTCATGTTGAGCAGAGCAAGAGCTAGGGAGAGAATTGAGCTGCATCCTCTTCACGCTCCCAAGACGTCAACTTCGAGTGTGTCCTCTCAACCACCCAGAGCAAAGCCAGCAAAGGTGCTGAATGTCCCAACTGGCAGTGCAGGTCCACAGGCTCGCGGGCCGAGTTCGCAGTCATGGGCAGACATGACCGCCAATGCCTGCTCCATGTGTGAAGATGAGCATTTCATCGATAAGTGCCCGAAATTCAAGCAGTTGTCGCCGGAAAAGAGGAAGGAGTTCGTCGAAAAGAAGTACCTCTGCTTCAACGGCTTGGGGAAGCACTCCATTCATGCCTGTAGGACCACGAAGATGTGCGTTGTGTGTCACAAGCGTCACCACTCGATGATCCACATCACACGTCCTCAGAATGGTCCTCTGGAGACATCTCAACCAGACCAGTTGAAGTCTCAAGGTCAGTGGTCTCAGTCTGGTACTCGTCCTATACAGTCCGCTGTTCCGGGGCCTTCATCAGTGCAGCAGTGATCTTCTCAACCAACGACTTCATCGACAGCGGCTCCGGTAACTTCAGAACGTTCTCTACGGCCGTCGCTATCAAGTGATTCTCCATCTGTAGCATTATCAGTTCATGAATCGTCATCTCAACTCAGACCAGGTGTTCTTCTCGCGACAGCGCTAGCTTCTCTCGTTGCAGAGAATGGTTGTTGCTATGAAGTGCGGATGAGGGGATGACCTTGGTACATGGGGCTTCGGCTTCAGGAGGGTTGAGGGTCCCTGAGGAGAAGCAGTTGGCTCGTATCTCCACTCAGTGTTCTGCTCAGAGGCAAGCTCATTCGTCAACTCCTATGTACTACTTTCCTCATCATGGTGTTCTCAGGGAAAGTAGTGAAACAACGAAGCTGAGGGTAGTCTTCAACGGCTCTAGTAAGACCAGCTCAGGGGTGTCTCTCAATGACATCCAACACACTGGAGCCAAACTGCAGAAGAATATCTCTCACGTGCTGCTCTCATCCAGGCGGAGCAGGTACATTTTCATGACGGACATCACGAAGATGTTCCGTCAAATCAAGGTGCATCGTGAGGACTGGCCTCTTCAACAGAATCTGTGGCGGAATTCTCAAGGTCAGATTAGCACCTACCAGCTCACCACTGTGACTTACGGGACTAAATCGGCCCCATTCTTAGCATGTAGAGTTCTCAACCAGCTGGTCGCGGACGAAGGACATCTTTTTCCTCTAGCAATCTCTCCGTTGATCAGTGGAAGATACATGGATGATATCTGTGGTGGTGCTGAAGAGGAGAGTGATCTTCTAGAAGTCTCCAAGCAAGTGAGGGATCTTTGCTTAGCTGGTGGTTTCCCTCTAGCAAAGTGGCGTAGCAACAGTCCGTCTCTACTCAGATCTCTGAATTCAGAAGGTGTCTCTCAGGATCACAAGCCGCTAGAGGATTTCACCACGAAGATTCTTTGTCTGAAGTGGGATCCAAATACAGACCAATTCAAGTTCTCAATCCACCTTCCGGCCAACTCAAAGGTGACGAAGAGGAATATGTTGTCTGAGATAGCTCACTTGTTCGACCCTCTAGGTTTACTTTCTCCTGTGGTGATTAGGGCAAAAGCACTCCTACAGCGTCTCTGGGTTGAGAAGCTGGACTGGGATGATGCGCTTTCACCACAAATCTCGGATAAGTGGACCCAATTCCGTAAGGAACTGTCTCAGGCCGAAAATATCTCCATTCCTTGTTGGCTTGGAGTGAAGAAGGATGCTCTGGTGGAAATACACGGGTTCTCAGACGCATCGCGAACAGCGATGGTTGCGGTGGTATAGGTGAAGGTGACAAGCTCGGATGGCGTGCGTATCTCGTTAGCTACTGCTAAAACCAAGGTGGCTCCACTCAAGCAGCTCACCATCCCGAGACTTGAGCTCAACGCCGCAGTCATGCTGGCGCAACTCACAAGGTATGTGCGTGTTCAACTCAACCTTGATAACGCTCCTGTGTTTCTGTGGACTGACTCAGCTGTTACCCTGGCGTGGATCAGCTCTCATCCCTCCCGGTGGAAGGAATATGTGCATAACAGGGTAGCCAGCATACAGGAACTGATTCCAGGAGCGAAGAGGCCATAAATCAGCGGTAAGGAGAATCCTGCTGATTGTGCTTCTCGGGGCATCACTGTGGCTCAACTCAGTGCTCATAAACTGTGGTGGATGGGTCCAAAGTGGTTGCAGTTAGACTCCTCTCAGTGGCCAAAAGAGAATGCCAAACTGGATCCGTCAGCAAATCTGGAAGAGAAGCCCGGATCCATATTTACCGTTTCGATGGGCTCTACTCTCTGGGATCTCATCACTAAGTACTCCTCTCTCTACAAATTGCTGCGCATAAAAGCAATTTGTCAACGTGTTGTTGCTCGGATGAGGAGGAAACCAGGTGAAACTCTCGTGGATCCACTCAGTCCTGATGGCATCGCGGCAGCTCGGCTATATTGGGTCAGAGCCACTGAGGCTCATTATCTGCAGTCGGAGTGCAGCATGATCTATCGTGGTCAACAACTTGGAAGATCTCATCCGTTGACCCAACTGACNCTTGTTCGACCCTCTAGGTTTACTTTCTCCTGTGGTGATTAGGGCAAAAGCACTCCTACAGCGTCTCTGGGTTGAGAAGCTGGACTGGGATGATGCGCTTTCACCACAAATCTCGGATAAGTGGACCCAATTCCGTAAGGAACTGTCTCAGGCCGAAAATATCTCCATTCCTTGTTGGCTTGGAGTGAAGAAGGATGCTCTGGTGGAAATACACGGGTTCTCAGACGCATCGCGAACAGCGATGGTTGCGGTGGTATAGGTGAAGGTGACAAGCTCGGATGGCGTGCGTATCTCGTTAGCTACTGCTAAAACCAAGGTGGCTCCACTCAAGCAGCTCACCATCCCGAGACTTGAGCTCAACGCCGCAGTCATGCTGGCGCAACTCACAAGGTATGTGCGTGTTCAACTCAACCTTGATAACGCTCCTGTGTTTCTGTGGACTGACTCAGCTGTTACCCTGGCGTGGATCAGCTCTCATCCCTCCCGGTGGAAGGAATATGTGCATAACAGGGTAGCCAGCATACAGGAACTGATTCCAGGAGCGAAGAGGCCATAAATCAGCGGTAAGGAGAATCCTGCTGATTGTGCTTCTCGGGGCATCACTGTGGCTCAACTCAGTGCTCATAAACTGTGGTGGATGGGTCCAAAGTGGTTGCAGTTAGACTCCTCTCAGTGGCCAAAAGAGAATGCCAAACTGGATCCGTCAGCAAATCTGGAAGAGAAGCCCGGATCCATATTTACCGTTTCGATGGGCTCTACTCTCTGGGATCTCATCACTAAGTACTCCTCTCTCTACAAATTGCTGCGCATAAAAGCAATTTGTCAACGTGTTGTTGCTCGGATGAGGAGGAAACCAGGTGAAACTCTCGTGGATCCACTCAGTCCTGATGGCATCGCGGCAGCTCGGCTATATTGGGTCAGAGCCACTGAGGCTCATTATCTGCAGTCGGAGTGCAGCATGATCTATCGTGGTCAACAACTTGGAAGATCTCATCCGTTGACCCAACTGACTGCCTTCATAGACCACCAAGGTGTTCTCCGAGTGGGCGGGAGATTGAAGTTCTCTAACCTGCACCCAGAGAGAAAACAACAAGCGATCATCCCTAAAGATTCCGAGCTGGCTGAACTTCTCATTAGGGACTGTCATCAGCGTACGTTGCATGATGGAACTCAACTCACGTTGGCGCGTCTCAGGAGGTCTTACTGGATTATTGGAGGAAGAGCGCCAGTAAGATCCTTCATTCTCAAGTGCGTGGAATGTGCCCGCCAATGTGGAGTACGTGCTCAACAACTGATGGGGCAGCTTCTACCGGCACGTCTGTCTCCAGGTCGTGCTTTCTCTAACACTGGTGTGGATTACGCCGGACCAGTGTCGATCAAGACGTGGAAGGGACGTGGTCATAAGACCCAAAGGGGTTGGATGGTGATCTTCGTGTGTATGGCCATGTCTGCTCTCCACTTGGAAGCTGTCACAGATTACTCTGCTGATGGGATTATCACTGCCTATCGGAGATTCGTGAGTCGTCGAGGTCGTTGCAGGAACCTCTTCAGTGATTGTGGAACTAATTTCGTTGGTGCTGACAAGGAGCTGAAGAGGTTGTTCTCCGCTGGATCAAAGGAGTTCCAGCATCTCTCAGCAGTTTACCTGCAAGACGGTACCCGGTGGTCTTTCAGTCCACCAGGGGCACCTCATTTTGGAGGAAAATGGGAAGCAGCGGTAAAATCAGTGATGTATCATCTCTCTCGAACGATACGGGATACTACACTGACGTTCGAGGAACTCTCTACGCTGCTTACCCAGATTGAAGCTGTGCTCAACTCCAGACCTCTACAGGCTCTCTCTGAAGACCCCGACGACGTGTTGTTTCTCACTCCGGGCCATTTTTTGATTGGAGAAGCTCCAATCGCTCTACCGGAACCTTCCCTGGACTATCTCAACGTTGGACGGCTCTCAAGATGGCAACTCATTCAGCAGAGGCTGCAGTATTTCTGGAAGCAGTGGTCTACAGGATACCTGCAGCAACTTAAGTCCATCTCCAAGTGGCATCATCCGTCCAACGACATTCGCATCGGCTCTATGGTTCTGCTCTCCGATGAGAGGTTCCCGCGCAGCGAAGTGGCCTCTAGCTCGGGTCACAGCTCTACACCCTGGGAAGGATGGTCTCTCCAGAGTTGTGACCATCAGGACAGCAATGACGACATTGACTCGGCCGATCTCNGTCTCCAGAGGACCATTCTGAGGACGTGTGATGTGGATCATCGAGTGGTGACGCTTGTGACACACAACGCACATCTTCGTGGTCCTACAGGCACGAATGGAGTGCTTCCCCAAGCCGTTGAAGCAGAGGTACTTCTTTTCGACGAACTCCTTCCTCTTTTCCGGCGACAACTGCTTGAATTTGGGGCACTTATCGATGAAATGCTCATCTTCACACATGGAGCAGGCATTGGCGGTCATGTCTGCCCATGACTGCGAACTCGACCCACGAGCCTGTGGACCTGCACTGCCAGTTGGGACATTCAGCACCTTTTCTGGCTTTGCTCTGGGTGGTTGAGAGGACACACTCGAAGTTCGCGTCTTGGGAGCGTGCAGAGGATGCAGCTCAATTCTCTCCCTAGCTCTTGCTCCGCTCAACATGAACTCCCTGAGTTTCGCGTACGTTGGAAAGGTGGTGGTGGATCCGATCTTAACTTCCCACGCCTCCGACATCTTAACATCCAACCGGCTTGAGATGATATGCACCAAGACGTCGTCCCAGTGCTCGACAGGGCACCCCAACGACTTCAGGGCGTTGAGAGCTTCGGTGGTGGAGTTGAAGAGAGCATTAAACTCCTTGGCCGTACGGTTGAAGATCCTCGGAGTGGAGAACAACATTTCCAGCTGAGTAGAGATGAGACGTTCATTGTCATACCTCGCGATAAGCATATCCCAGGCTGGAATGAATGAGTCTTGAGCTACCGGCAGAGTTGAGATCAACTGTTTTGGCTCGCCAGCAAGAGAATTCAAGAGATAATGGAATTTCTCGACCGTAGAGAGGTTATTATTGCCGACGACTCTCTAGAGGAAAAGATCTTTGAAGGGCGTCCCCTGAGAAGGTAGGCAGCGAGATCTTCGGTAACTGCCTTTGAGTCGCCTGAGCAGACGGAACTGATGCAGCGGGTCGACGAAACGACTCCGAGAGTTCCGCGGTCTCATCAATGGCCTTGATTAGCCCAATGAACGACGTACGAGCCGTGAAGTACCGCTGCAAACAGATATCGTATACCCCTTGCTTCACGTAATCGTGCTCGAGCACCTCCGCGCTATCCTTCCCAGTGAGCAGCCTCACGTGCTGGTCCTCGATCTGGCTCCAGTAATTCTCCAGAATATCGAGCTTCGACTGCAACTCCGTGACTGAGAGCTCCTTCACCGCCGCTGACGATGATTCCATGTAGAGAGACTCAACAAACTTTGCCCTACTGGCTTGAATAAATAATCTCCCTGCGAAAGACATGCTCACCCGATAGCAAATACAAATTCAGCAAGCAGAGAGAGCACAAAAAAAAACCGTAGAGAACGCAACAGTGGAGAAAAGCACAGCCAATAGCGAACAAAAAAAATTGAAATCAAGCAAAAGCAGCAGTGATGTTCAGGGAAAATCAATGGAGGAAAATAATAATAATAATAATAATTGGCTTCCCTGTGAGAAGGTCTAATGGCAGCAGTGATGAGCGGAGAACTTCAGCTGGCAACGAGAAGGACGAGAAATCTGCTCCTGAAGTGCTGGAGAAATATGTCACGGAGCCCCAGGTTGAGTGACACTGACGGATTTGCAATTTTTAGTGGCGCGCACAAATGTCAATAGTCCGAGATGAGCATCACTGCACTGCTACATCACGAAGGAGGAGCCGCGTGGGAGGAGTCGATGGGCGAAGTCGGTGGGTGGAGCAAAGGGGGTGGAGCCGACACGCAGATTCCCGCGCTTTTCACCGACACCACGCACACTGAAGTTTTACTGAAAAACAATGTTCACTTTTTCCGATGATCCGGCTCGAAGGACCACATGTTTCGGCGAGAGTTAAACAAAAAAAACCGATGGAGAGCCGGGATTCGGAAAAGGGTTGAGAAGTTCACCAAAAAAATAAATGTCACTGTGCGCGTGGGTAGAGTCACAATAAAAGTCTATATTTATCATAACATATACACAAAGTCAAAAAAATGTCCGCGTCACAATGATAATTAATTGTTGACAGTTAATTTAGAATGAGGTAGAGAGCTTGCACGGTGGAGATGTTCACAATAATTCACGATGTAATCACGGAGAGAATGGCACAATGCACACTTGTCACGAGGCGATTAGAGAAGACGGCGGAAGTGACGAGATGGGCTAAGTATCCCGGCAGGTGTCGTCGGTCCCAATTAATTGGACACGGTCGGTAACCCAGGTCCGTTTCCAGGAGGTGCTGCCGCTCGTGGTCAGCGGACCAACCTGCCGTGACGTGAGGCTGAAGCCTCAACATGGGTGCTTCCAGGCATATATTCATTAATTCAAACATGAGGGTTCCTCGGAGTGCCCAATCTGTACAGGAGTGGACGAGGATTCAGAGCATGTGTTTTTCAGATGCCTTCGTTTCAGTGACATCCGACATACTTGCGAATCAACCCTGGAAAAGGGAAGTCTTGCCTGAGAAATTGGTGGAAATTATGCTGTCATCTTAGATAGCCTGGGATGCAACGAGCGACTGTGCGGCAGAAGTCATCAAGGAGCTCAGAAGTGAGGAACACAAGCGCAAGGCTGCAACATACGTAAGAGATCTTCTGGAAACTCCTCCCCGCACCCAAAACCTCAGTGAGACAGGGGGACGTACATTAGATGAAAATGACGTGGAAGAGCAAATAGCTGAGACCCCCTCGCGAAGTAATACTTTACGATGTTACCGCGAGGAGATAAAAAGTTAGGGGAATTAAGTCTGACAGGAGTTGAATCGGTATTGATCATAGATCCGAGTCCGACATACCCCAGTTGAAGGAAGAAACCACCCGTTCTCTTCTTCAAGGGGGCATGCTGAATGCATTTTCCGACAGACTTTAATAAAACAAATACATGCACGCGCACACACACACACACACACACACACACACACACATACACATACACACGTTAAGGACGCACGCCGAAAGCTTACCAAATCTATCAAGGAGAGCAAGAAGCAAGGCTGGATTGGACTCCTCGACGAAGTCGAGAGTGAACCGTGGGGAAGACCGTAGAAGGTGGTTATGACACGGCTAAAAAGCCAGCCAATGCCATCTCCGTCATGCCCCGAGCTCCTGGAGAAGATTGTAACGGCGTTGTTCCCCCAACAACCGGAACTCCGCCAGTCCACGGAGCACAGCATGGAGACATCGATCCCACCAATTATGGAGGAACAACTTAAGGAAGCTTGTAACAGAGTGGGAAACACCAAGGCTCCTGGCCTTGATGGAATCCCCAATATTGCATTAAAAGCAACGATCAATGTAGCACCAGGACTGTTTCTGGATGTATACAATGCATGTCTGGAGGAAGGCACCTTTCCCACCAAGTGGAAGCAGCAGAGACTAGTGCTCCTCCTCAAAGGGAAGATGCCACCGGACGAGCCATTACCATATCGCCCACTCTGCATGCTAGATACAGCTGATAAAATCCTCGAGCGCATCATCCACAGAAGGATAGAAGCAGCAGTAGAACCGCTGCTAGCTGATAACCAATATGGCTTCCGAAGAGGTCGCTCTATCATCGACGCCATTGACCTCGTCGTCAACACCGCCAAGGAGGCGATCTCTGGGAGAAGATGGAGACAAGGTACGAAAAAATACTGCCTGGTGGCGACGCTAGATATCAAGAACGCCTTCAATTCAGCCAGGTGGGACTGCATTGTGGAGGCTCTCGAGGGGACGATCGTCCCAGGGTATCTGCGGAAGATGGTAGCTAGCTACCTCACCGACAGAGTTCTCAAGTACGACACAGAGAGCGGCCCTAAAGAGTACCAAGTAACCGGAGGGGTACCACAGGGCTCGGTACTGGGCCCTCTCTTGTGGAACATCATGTATGATGGATTGCTGAAGATAGCATTGCCAACTGAGGTGAGACTCGTGGCATTTGCGGATGACGTGGCGGTGGTGATTGTGGCGAAGCACCTGGAGGAAATCAACTCCATCCTCGATACGACATTCAGGAGGATACATCATTGGATGGATTTAGTGGGATTGCAACTCGCGAAGCATAAAACGGAAGCAATGCTCAATTACTAGTAGGAAGAAATTGGAGAGTATCAAATTTGTGACTACCAAATCACATCTCAGCCTTTTATTCGGTATCTTGGAATAATGATCGATGCCCGATTCAAGTTCAAGCAGCAAGCGGAGCATGTGGGAACCAAGGCATCTGGAGTCAGATCCACCTTAGCACGCCTCATGCCCAATATCGGAGGTCCTAAGCAACGGAGATGAGCGCTGCTGTCTTCAGTGGTGACGTCAGTGCTTACATATGGTATTTCCATTTGGGCTGACGTTCTGCAACTGCAAGAAGCTCGCCGTAAAATTGCACCTGTTTATCGGCTGAGTGCCCTCAGAGTAGCGAGTGCATACCGGACGGTATCTGAGGACGCAGTCTGCATCATCTCAGTAATGATACCGATAGAAGTATTAGCTGAGGAGCGAAGATCCCTGTATCAACGGAAGAGAACAGAAGTGCTGAATCCCGAAGAATTGAAAATCCAAGAGAGAAAAAACAGCTTGAGCCGATGGCAGCAGAAATGGTCCGATTCGACCAAGGGGAGATGGACCTATCGCCTGATCCCGTAAGTGGCTGCCTGGGTAAGTCGAGACCATGGAGAGATAAACTACTATCTTTGTCAAATGCTTTCAGGACATGGTTGCTTCCGGAAATTCAAATTCAAACATGAAGATTCCCCGAAGTGTCCCACCTGCGCAGAAGTGGACGAGAACGCGGAGCACGTATTCTTCACATGCCCCCGTTTCAGTGACATCCGGGATACTGGGGAGACTGAACTGGGAAGAAAAGTCTCGCCCGAGAATCTAGTAGAAACAATGTTGTCATCACAGACAGCCTGGGACGCAACGAGCAACTTTGCGGCGGAAGTCATGAAGGAACTCAGAAACGAGGAACGCACGCGCATGGTTGCAGTATAGGTGAGAAATCTATTTGGAATCATATCTCCTAATCACACATAACATCTTAGCAGGTTAGGGGGATATACATTGGATGGAAAGAGTGGAAGAGCAAACAGCTGAGAACCCCCCTCGCGAAGTAATACTTCACGGTAAAGTAGTCCGCCTCTGGATGGAAACAGTTGGCGTGGGCCTGGCGGAACATAAAACCGAGGCTGTGTTGATTACAAGCAGGAAAATTGTTGAGACGATCACACTGCATGTCGGTGACTATGACCTAACCTCTCAGCCGCTCATTCGGTATCTGATGGTAATGATCGATGCACGACTGAACTTCAAGCAGCAAGCAGAGCATGTGAGCAATAAGGCGTCTGGAGTTAGACCCGCCTTATCACGTCACATGCCCAATATGGGAGGTTCGAAGCAAAGGCGACGAGCATTGCTGACGTCGGTGGTCATGTCAGTGCTCACATATGCCATCTCCATCTGGGCTGACGCGCTGCAGACGCAGGAAACTGTGACGAATATCCAGGCGAATTCATCACCTGCGGAACTCCAGGGTATTTATGTATAGAAAGTGAGAGAGAGAGAGAGAGAGAGTAAAAATTTATAAACCATTACCTTTTCTTCGCGTTAAAAATCTATACGAAAGATTAGACCTACCTGCTACCTTAACTCTACTTCAGAGCTATCTTAAGTTCGGAGAACTACTTAAATTGGTTACCTATGGCGTGAATCGATTCCCTAAATGTTTAGAATAATATTCATTAAATAACTTCATTAAATAAACCAGATATTTTGCAGATATTTTTTTTTCGAGTCAGTTTTGTTGAGTTAAAGTTGAGTAATTTTGAGATTTTCCTACGTAAATTCGGTTAAGGACCAAGATATCACCGTGAAATATTTGGCCAAGATAATGTGCTACCCAGTGTTTCCTGTGGCCCTTTTTGGTTTGTCAATAGAGTGAGTACATAGGTCGAGTTGAAATGCTTGCGCTCCCTTGAGCGAGAGTGTTAGGACTTTCAGTTGGAAGGCCGTGGAGACGATTGCCCAGTCGTCGAAACGCATCGCCATTGGGTTTTTAGTTTAGTTAAGTTGCGTTTGCGATTGAGTTTTCGTTGGTAAAGTCCTAATTCCTCTCCGGAGAGTGCCCTCTGTAGATAAGCTACCTTATTCCGGTCGTAGATGGAGTGAAGATCCGCTCAGCCATCTCAGTTTCACGTTCAGTTCAAGTAATTACAGTTTTGTTTAGTTGAAATAATTAGAATCAATTATAGGAAAATTTAAATTTAAATCTTTAAATATTTCGCGCAAAATTAACCCAGGAATCGATAGTTCGCGTCTCCGGCACTCGAGTCAGCACCGTACGGGGCTAGTCTCCCCCAGACTCCCCACCACTATGCAACAGGCCCGAGCGGACACACGCGATAGTCGCCATTACAGTATCCACCCGGACGACTAAGAGTGAGGTACGAGTCGATTTAGCTCCCTGAACAAGTTCTCTTTCGAGGTAATTATCGAGGCGCCGTGATCAAAATTCAGTCGAAATCAATGCTCCGGACAATGGTAAGTACTCGTGTACTTATTAAGAGGTGATTAACAGTGAATTAGTGCGTTTTACGATAAAGCAGTTGGACCACGCGGAATGGCGTCGCTACCTCTCGGAATGACGCCAACACCGATACTCATGGTTTGAAGGGTAGGAAATCCTTCAAACAAACCCAAATGCTCCCTGGAAGCTACCTGAAATTATCTAGTTAATAATTAGGCTACCTGAATAAATCAAAATATTAATAATGCTACCTACCATAACGTTTNCCCTGGAAGCTACCTGAAATTATTTAAATGATAATTACGCTACCTGAATAAATTCAAATAGTAATCATGCTACCTACCGTGACTTTTGGGGCTAAATTTCTTGCTTTATGCGTCTCGCTACGGCGATTGATGCAACTCGCTATCTGCTTCATTGCTACCTTTTTGCTTGCTACTTTTTCTCGCTCTCTTTACGTAATTATTCTACGCTACCTATTTCTTTATATTTCTCCGACTCACAAGAGTTCTGGAGGAAAAATGATGTTACCTGAATTGCTCTGAAGCTACCTTTTTCGCGTTTTAATACTCTCTAGCGTTCGTTCAGTTTTGGATTCCGGTTAGTCATGGGGACGTTATCTTTTTAGTTATCTTTACTTTTATGGTTGGAATCCAGAACAATAAAATTATCTAAGCTCCCTTGCGGTAATGAATAAGCTACCTATTATTTTAGAAATTATTGGAGACCGTAAGCTACCTATTTTCCTGGAGAAAACCTCCATTTCCGGGTTAGAAATGCTCCCTTCCGGTAAATCAGCCACGTGGCTGATTCAAGCTCCTTAGCTCATTTTGCTACCTTTTCGGTGGATGAGATCCCCGATTTTAATGGGTTACAACTGGCGTAAGGAGTAAGTAAACCATTACAAAGGCGCTCCAGAATTCGAAATTCGATTATTACAGTCGAAAATAGGAAAAATTAGTACCGTTTCGTACGCTCTCTCTTTATTCTGCGTAGCTACCTCATCTGTTCTCTCTCGCACGTACGCTACCTTCCTATAGTCTCTCTCTCTCT